TAACTTTTTGCAGATGTTTATAGCTAACTTTCATTTCCATATTAAAATAAAAACAGATAAGCACTTAGATTGTCACCTTTTGCTATAAAAATAGGTGGCAGTCCTACTTCCTTAGTAAAGACGTAAAGAAATTCAATAAACGAAGTCTCATCAGTCCTGAAAGGGCAAATGTCAAAGATGACCCTCCCTAATGAAATTTCCTTACCTCCGAACACAAACAATTTATAGCACAGCCCAATCACAATCAACATGTATTCAAAGAGTGTAAGTAAATATTCGTACAAGTGGACTTTACAAGGTCAATAAACATTGACTAAGTTAATCAAATAATTGAGATTAAATCCCTACTTGGACCCTTTCATTTACCTTGTTTTTGGACGAAGTATGTCGTAAAATAGGTTACTTTATCTGATTAAGTTGTTTTAACTGCGACTTCGTTTGTGATTTTATTCCCTATATCAGAGTGTATCTCCAATAATTATACTTATCATAGGAATACTAATATTATTAATGCGAAAGTTTAGATGGATGGATGTTAGAGTTTGTAGCGTAAACGGCTTAAGGGATTATGATGGAATTTGGTATAGAAGTAGAGGATAGTCTGGAAGAATACATATGCCCAGACACTGCAATTTTACTACTATATACAACTATTTTTTTTTCCAAAACGGGTTTTAAATCCAGTCTTTTTTTTATTACATTTAAAAATCAGATAGTATATTTATAAATAACGAAAAACATTTAAATTTTATAATCAACAATCGAGAAATGTTTGTCGCGTCGTAAAGTTGAAAACCGGTCGGAGCAGTAACAGTAAAAAGCAAGCGTACATCCGTTCCCAGAAGGATTGGGGACGTTAAAAAACAAACAAGAATGTACATTGATGTACTGACGTTTGGCGAACGCCTTTGAAAAAACATTGGAAAATATAAAATTTTAACGCTATAAATGCTATATTCAAAGCTATTTCTATCGTTTGAAAACTTTTATTACCGAACAAGCTGTTCTCTTGCGACTTCAACAAAATTATGAAAACGTTTATTGTTTACATTTGTCAAATTCTCAATTACAGATATCAAAATTATCGTTATCATGCTTGCTTCCTTAATGTTGGTGGCTTGGGTGTTCCTTAAGGTTTTTTTTTAAATTAGTTTACTCCGTAAGTTTGAAAATATATAGTCTAAAGCGTATAGTAAGTGTTGGACTTTTTATTAAAGAAGTAATTATTCAAAAATATTCTGTGATTGCTGACGTCCTACGCCACGAAGAACTGTGTGTTTGCGCTTTATTATAATAAAGTATACATAGCGATAGCTAGGTATTTTACTTAAAATTAAAATGGACATATACCCGCGCTATATTATGAAGTCACTTGACTTTAAAAAACTAGGTACAGTCAGGAAAAAAAATGATTATGGTTTTCTACATTTTGACAGATCGATGTAATTGACGGGCACATTTCATTTGAAACGCGCAATATAGAATTCAAACGTGACGTAATGGCGTCTTCACATCGTCACATCAAAGGTCGCTAGTCACAGTAATTGCTCGTTGATTAATTTAATGGCCGATCAGTTAATCGTTCACGATCTGAAGTCGACGCTGTGAGCGACTGCTCAGCAACATCAGTCAAAGTTCTCGTTGTATGTGACTAATTGTTTTGCTAACGGTACCTATCCATCATTGAATATTCGATAACTCTTTAGACTGTATACTATTAAATTTATTATCTAATAGCTTTCGCACGCGAATCCGTCCGCGTGGGATTAAAAAAAAACAAAAGTGAGAAGGCTATATGTTCTTCCAGACTATCCTCTACATCTATACCAAATTTCATCTAAATCTGTTTAGTCGTTTAGGCTACAAACTTTAAGAAACATCCATCGATCCATCCATCTATCCATCTAAACTTTCGCATTTATAATATTAGTATGAATATCATACTTTTCCCTTCAGAATGCTACATTTTAATGTACTTTTTATACCTTAAACCACATTAGGGCGTATACCGTTCAATCTACACATCACTTCGCTGTGTCAGTTACTAAAAAAATTACAAAACTTAAAATAAGCAAACTTGACGCCCTATAATCATATTCCTTATATAAAATCAAGTTTGGGCCGTCTTAAAAATGAACAAACATTTGGTTTAAGCTTGTAGTACAGCTAAAAGCGAACCAGAAGCGAAGCGAAATTAAATTAACTAGACGAAACGGCAAAAGAAAATAAAAAAAATAATTAAGCATCGTGAGTTACTATAAAAATAGATTGAAACTATAGAAAGTTTTTTGTAATGTTTTTACTTCGTTTTTGTGTCTGCCCATCTCTAGAAATGTTACGCTTTCCTATTCTTTAAAATCGTTTTCGTTGCTGTGTTACAGGGTTTAGTAATCATAGACTGTGTCTCGGCCTCTATTATATTTGATTATAAACTACAATGAGATACAATACAGGACTGTTTCCTATTATTTTACTATAATTATCAAAAGCCAAACACAACACGAAAGACTTGTGATTACATCGTTAAAGTGAAACAAACATAGTTTCAAGAAAGTACTCCCTTTTTTGTTTAAATACTATAATTCAAATAATTGCATATTAAAAAAAATATGACGCTACTGAAATATCGTTCCTGCTAGGTGTGAGCGAGACAAAACATATAGCTTATGCATTATCACCTCTTGTAACTTAAACAGCTGAATCTATTTTAATGAATGAGGTGTCATTTTATTCACATTCTTCCCTTGAATGTCTAAGAAATTCAGCCTTATTTTTATACAGAGCTAGGCATATTTCGTACAGAATGCGCTCAGTTTCCGGACATCTGATACGTTACAATTAACAAGAATAAACATATTAAATGTCTTATTGCTTTAGTGATAAGATTCATTTTCCCTTGAATCAGTTTAAAGACAAGAGAGCTGGATTTAGAAATACACCACCAAGAAAATAGTAGAATATCAATTCCGTCTGCGGTTACCAAGCTGCGTTGTTCAAAGTTTTGGTCAACTTTATACGATGTTCTATCGAGATTTATTTATACATTTATGTTAAGTTTAAGTGTTTACTACGCCAAGTTTGTAAATTTTCAATAAGTATGCAAAGTAAAGATGTTTAATGTAATATATTTTAGATTACCACTAGCTGTTCCCGTGCTTCATCCGCATGAAATTATGAAAATTTTATTTTATTGTTTACATTTGTCAAATTATCAACAGCAAATGTCAAAATGACATGATATGACAAACCTTGGTAATCTTGTTTCCTTGATGGTGGCAGCAACTTATGGTCTCTTTCCCACGTTTGGGTTTTTTATCCAAAATATTTACCCCCCAAGTTTAATAGCGTGAAAATATATAGCCTAAATCGTGACGTAAGTGTAGGGCTTTTTATTAAAAAAATAATTATTCAAAAATATGCTGTGATTGCTGACATATTAGGCAACAAAGAAGTGTGTGTTTACGCTTTATTATAATAGTATAGAAGTATAGATATTTGTCATATACTATACAAAAATGTTTAGATTTGTAATTGCATAAATGGCTTGACTGACTTTAAAATGTTTTTCGATTCGTATTAATTCTTTTGTTTTAAATGTTTTTGTCGTCTTTTGTTTTTAATTACCTAATGATGAATTAGAAACGAGCTGTCGCCCGCAAACTACAGTAGTATAGGATTTAAAAAAATTGGTCGCCTTCAACATTTCCACGTGCATCTATGTACCTATCACCAATCTTTCAGTCAAAGTCCCGTCCAAATTGGTCCTCACGTTCCAAAGTGGCGGTCCGGTCGCCATTTTGACAGCGCGGAATTAAAAAAAAGTAGCCTATAATATGCGGGTCTATGTCAGCTACCTTGCTGACAGACAGACAAAAAATTTTTAAATGCGATTTTCGATCAGCAACGCAAATACATCATCTTACTGAAATCTGGAATTTTTCTTTTGATATTACAAACAGACACTCTAATCATACTAATCATACTTCATACTAATATTATAAATGCGAAAGTTTAGATGGATGGATGGATGGATGGATGTATGGATGGATGGATGGATGGATGGATGGATGGATGGATGGGTGGATGGATGGATGGATGTTTGTTAGAGTTTGTAGCCAAAACGACTGAACAGATTTAGATGAAATTTGGTATAGATGTAGAGGATAGTCTGGAAGAACATATAGGCTTCTCACTTTTGTTTTTTTTAATCCCACGCGGACGAAGTCGCGAGCGAAAGCTGGTTTTATTATATGTATAGACTAAAGTATATTTGCTGAATATAAATCTACCTACAAGAGTATCATTATTAATAGAATAGAGAGCAATAAACTAAATCCGTTCGAGTCTAGACAATGGAATAACGTTGTTAAAATTAAATGAAAACTCCAAAACGAATTCGTTGCAACGAATAGTACAGAGGGGTAGGTTAAAAATACTTCTGTAGTCTCAATATTTAAACAGTAGTCAGTAAAAGTTCACCGTCTTGTTTGGATGTGTTCACGTATTGGTTTTATATTTTTAGTTTATTTGGTTAAATTATTTGTGTTTTTTTTACGGTAAAGTATTATTTTAGTTAAAAATTAGTCGCAATTTAAATATTATTCAAGTTTTTTTTAAGTTTTTTTCTTTGAATTTTATGTTCATCTGTTCACAAGTTTTTTATAGTTTTAATGTTTATTTTCATAGTGTATTTAAATTAATTTTTATGTAACTTTAGCCATACTTTACAACAAGTTATAGTAAATATCAAAATCGATTAACAATGCCAAGAGATATTTTTACAGTGGGTATTTTGTAAAAAATTATACCTACATTTAAAATTATGTTCCACAGTTTTCTTTTATTAATGTCGTCTTGTTAATTTTACATGCTTTTGCCTGACGCCGCGTGGAATTAAATCAAATTGGAGATACATAGCAGGAAGCGTTCTTTTCAAACTGTTATCTATAATAGTAAAGATTTAGAAGTGTAAAATTAAAATAACTTTTTTTTTGTTTCAGCTGACCCCACCGAGACATCGTCGCGTGCGCTCCATGTGAAATAAATCAAGCAACACTAAACCATTTATCATTGAAACTTAAAAAGGTGTCCAAAAATAGACATGGCGCTTAAATTATATGCGTCCGTGATTAAAATAGAATCGACATAGTAGGGGTTGGACTTCCGTTCAAAATGTGATTCAAATATAGACAGGATATCCCTAGTGTTGGAAAACGTTAGAACTATGGCTGAATACAAAAGTAGATTGAGATTAACCAGTAGGTGTGTGAATCCTTTATTCCTGTTGTTACGGACTAGTATGTTTTTAGTGTTAATATCTGTGATCAGTGTATGTAGTGGTTATGTTGAACAGAAGTTTGCTATGGAACCACAAGATCAGGTAATTTTAAATGATTTTTACATCAGAATACAATCAAATTCAAATGTATGAAGGTATTTTGTTAAAGGTTATTTTAATTGATAGACAATTAGTTGTCAACGCCATCTATTGTTGTAAAAAGTTAACAAAAAATGTTTTATTTTTTCGTTTATTTAATTCAACATAAGTGAAATAAACTATCAAGTTTGAACTTTTTATTATACTTAGTAGTCAACGTGGAATTTATTGAAATGACTGTATAAATAAAAATAATGTCTTTATTGTAACCGAATGAAATCCAATGTCGGTGCCTGAGGCGGTTTGTTATGGCATTTTTTACATTTACGTAATGACATAAGTTTTATTACGAAATTGTTGGTTATGTAATTGTGTAGAAGATATATACAATTATTACGTGCTTATTTCTTTACAGTGTTATTTATAATGTCTTTATAGATGCTCAAAGCGTTTTTTAATTATTTTTTTTAATTTCTAAGTCATTAACTGATATGCTTAAATTATATCTCGATTTTTTCAACCTAAGTGTAATTTGTATAATATCATTTTAACATTTATCTTTATGAATATTTATGAAAAAAAAGTATTACATTACTTATAGACAGGACATTACGATAATTTGCATCAAATTAAATTATGAACCGAGTTGAAGTAGACAACCTGTACCTGTGGTATGTTTTTAAAATATGGTTCGTCATGTCCTGTCTATTGTTATAAAATGTTTACTATGTCTATAGACAGCAGTGGTGGGTTCCCGAGTTATATTGCCGTGTCGTGTGGAGAACAAAGTGGGTCAATTGCAGTGGACTAAGGATGACTTCGGACTTGGTTTGCATCGTGATCTCAGTGGATACGAAAGATATAAAATGATTGGAAGCGATGAAGAAGGTTGGTTTAACGATTCTATTAGTTGTAGTTCTATGTATTTGTAAAAAAATATGATTTCGTAGTGTTTTTTTTAACACGAAAGCAACCTATTCTATTCTCTAAATTATTCCTTGGATTGCATTCAAATCAAAATACCAATGTCATGTGTTTAAAAATATCATTAAATCATAATGAGATGGTATTCTCTTCCAATTGTTTTATCCCTTCATCATCCTGCCCTGGTCCCTAAGGAGGGTTAGCACAGTATGTACTGCTCTTCCATACATGTCTATCAGTTGTTATATCTGAATTAACTCCCTTAACATAATCCTCTTTCACACAATCCTGGATGGATACTTCGGTGTTCCTCTACCTTTGTAGCCATTCACATACAATCTCAATAATTTCTCGTATTCTCCCTTAAAAAGAAATGAAACTAGAAGCTATGACAATTACAATGTGAATCCCTTTTTTGACCGACTTTCCAAAAGAAGGAGGTACTCAATTCGTCTGTATTTTTTTAATATAGTATTTTAGCAAAGAAGATGCATGGTAACAATTTAATTAACATAATATCTGTTCACAGGTGACTATTCCTTGGATATAAGAGAAGTGACTTTGGAGGATGATGCTAAATACCAATGCCAAGTCAGCTCTGGACTAAGAGGTAGGTTTTTTTTAACAATTTAACATCTTGCATGAATAGGCCACTTCGTACGATGCCATACCACGACCACGCAGAAGACAGGCGTGAAGTAGCAATACAAAGGAAGTATGCGGTCTGAAAGCCTTTTTTTATTCTCTTTCTCTTACCGCCTTGTTTATAACAATTGGAAGAGAATTGACATAGGCTAGGAAAATAACCTCAGTGTGTTCCATTCGTCGAATAAAGCAACACATCTGCAATTACCAAAGTCTCTGGGCAGACGTCACTTCACTGTTTCGGTGAATTCAGATGGGCACTTGCTCTTTTACCACCAAAGAAACATTTGTATATCCATCTATCTATCAACTTTCTCATTTATAGCATTAGTTATTTAGTAAGTAGAGAAGTAAAATAAAGACGACTCTCAGATTATTTACAATTAATCATTGTTAAAGCTAAATTAATTAATTTCACGAAAGTTTCTTTGTATTTCAGTAAATTGGAGTGTAATATAAAACGTTAAATTGATGAGAAATAAGGTTTCATTTGATGGATTGTTTGAAACTTTATTGTAAACAATATCCAACGGTATCTGACAATTATAGAGTTTCAGCTTAATTAGGATTTTGTACTGACTTCTTAGTCTTGATGATTCATTTGTACAAATTCGATAAATAACGGATTTGTTACTGGCTTTACACTTTTGTTTTTGTATTGAAATGTAAAGTTTTTTTCATGTACTTACAGATTATTCTTTTAATAGTAAATTTACATTTGTAGTTGTCATTTTTGTATAGAGTAAGTCTTAACTCTTTGTTTCTCTACACTATTATATAACGATTTGAGTTACTTTTTATTTGCATAGTATAACCTCAAAATTTGGATCGATTTTAAAAATTCTTTCCATGTATCTCTGAGTAACATAGGTTATATTAATTATGTTTAATAATTTAAAGAGCCATGTTCACTCTTTCGAAACCGTTACCGGTTACCATCAATAAGCCATTTCCTTTAACTTCCCTAAAGGTAGGTATATCCACTATATTTCCTAACATCTTAGTCGTATCTGAATTAACTCCTTTCTTCAGTCTTCCCCTACCTTTGTATTCAATTTAATTTATTTCTATTCCAATCGGATCGTTAGTTATTTAATTATACTTCAATAGAATGAAGAGGATTACCACTCGATTCTAGTGCTATTGAGAAAATAATAAATGATAAGTTAATAAATTCCTCTTAGAATAATTGAGGATATTTCCTACTTCGCAGACAATACTCTTGGGTACAATAGTATTGGTTATTCGTAATTTGTGGATATCTATTGACTTCGTTTACAAAAGATCTATTTTATTTCTTAAATATATTTGCTCTAATAAGTTTCAACAATTAACTCTCTTTAGAATGTCGATAAAACAATTACAAAAACAATATTGAATGTTAATCATCACCAGCACTGTACTTCCCCACTAAGGGGCTCGAAGCCTATGCTAAGTTTGAGATTACTAGGCCATAGTCAAATACGCTGGCTAACTGAGGGTTGGTTGACGTCACACATTTATTAATTTCTTCGACTGTAATGCAAGACTAGTTTTTTGTCCTTTCTGTGCCCTCCTCTGAAGATAGGTAGACAACGCAACTCCATTTGTAGATATTTATGGACAGCGTTCGCTTCGCCATTTCGAGGTATTCAGATGACCGTTTGTTCGTTTGCCAATTTGAATTTCATAAAAAATCAACATACTACGTTATAGTCTAAATATGAAAATCTAAAAAAATATTGCGTATTTTTGTATTGGACTCTTAGGCGCAAAGTACAATATTCTTACGTAACTTATTTGTTTTAGATTGTTTTTGTCGCTATAACTTGGAAAATTGTGTTTGTTTTAATAAATTGAAAATCCTTTTGCTCGTTTCTTTTATGCCGTATTATTTCTTTCCTATTCCCTTTAGTGGATATTTTGGCATCGGCCATATTAGTAATGGAAGTTTCGTTCGCAGTGTCGTAATTTGTTTTTTAATATTCCTTTTAACCCTTTTCCTTTCTGCGCAGTTCCCTTTATTTGCATCTCCGATTAGCCAATCTTATTGAAATTTCTCCTTTGTTTCGCTGATTTCGTATTTTCAATTTGGTATTTTGTTTTTCAATTGGGTAAAAAGAATTTCTTTTTAATTGAGCAGTTTGTTGATTAATGAATAAACATTTCTCACTCGTTTTAATTGAATTTTTGTTTTTATTCCTGACTAAATTTTATTTTGTAATAATATAAAATGTTTTAGGTCAAAGAATTTTCAGTTAAATTTGCTGTCACATGTGACTTCATTCGTGTGGAATTTAGAAAACAATTTAATTTTATTCAAAAACATTTGATTCTTAATTCGATTTTCATTTGTTTTTCTACTGGTGTAAGCTTATCCGAACAAGATCCCGTTAGTTTTACCAAAAATATTTTTACCACCGTATTCCTTGTAACAAAGCGCGTCTTGTGATATGTCACATTGTGTAGTTTGATAACTTTCTAACACCACTTGTATTTTATTTAAAATTACTTTTACTTTTAATAATTTAAAATATATTAATACTTGTTTTTTAATTTTAAATGTAAATATTGCATTTTAAATTGTAACTTGCATTAAGTGCAATATTGTGATTGATTTTAAAATAAAGAAAAGAAAGTCTTTGGATTCATCACGCCAGCGGGAGAATGACGGGGCAGCAAGAGGCTGCCTCATTAAAAAAAAATACCACTTGTATTTATTCGTACGCCGAGCACTTAAAACACAACTGATTCGGTTTGCAATTCATAGGAATCTGTACATGGTTTTATCAGATTTTTGGTACACATTAGTATTATTAGAATCTAAAACTAAGCTATAGACTTCTAGAATATGGTTTACAGTAGCTGGATCACGGGATTCGAATCTACGACCACATGATGAAAAATCCGCACACAACAATAAAGCTATCGGTGCTATTCTGGTTGAGAAATTTTAAGACCTCGAATACTTTTACTTCGACAATATCATCATCTTCCCTGCCTTATCCTACTCCCGTAGGTCGGCGCACCGGGTTTTCGTCCTCCAAAGCACTCTATCCGTCATCTCAGTCATCACTCCCTTCTTGATCATGTCACCTTTCACGCAATCCATCCATCTCTTACTTTTACTTCGACAATAGAAGTCGTATAATTAGCAATCTCAGTAAATACTTTAGCCGTTTCAGCGAAAGATTCCGCCATTCAGATGTTAACGGAAAGGTTTTGGAAATTAATTTACATAAGCCTTTGTGAACAAATGCCAAATCTTTTGATAAATTCACTTCTATTTGACTGTACAGTTTGAATTCTTATCTTAAATGAAAAGGGTTCTTACGGAACATTCAGCTTTTGTTAATACTTTGATATGAAGTAATTAAAAACTTATATTCAAATAGCCTTTTTATTTTGAAATTGCAAAGTTATAATCTATACTATTATAATAAAGCGTAAACACACTTCTTTGTTGCCTAAGATGTCAGCAATTACAGCATATTTTCCAAAAACTCGTATTTTAATAAAAAGCCCCACACCTACGTCACGCTTTAGGCTTAACTTAGGGGTAGATATTTTGGATAAAAACCCTAATGTAGAAAAGAGACGATAAGTTGCTGCCAACATCAAGTATTGACAAGGTTTGTCATGTCATGTCATTTTGAAATTTGCAATTGATAATTTGACAAATGTGAACAATAAAATGATTTTTTTATAATTTTATGCGGATGAAGTCGCATGGGAACAGCTAGTTGATATTTATAAAATGCCCCTAGTGTGCCTGTTGGCTAAAGATCTAAAGATTTCCATTGTTTTATGTCGTAAGTGACTCCTAGACTACGGTCATCTTAATATCATCCTACTATCTTAGAGGCTACTGATACTTCCCACCGTCTCTTGAATAACATTCTTTTGTGACCCTACTTCATTCCATTTGTGTCTCAACATGTGACCAGTTAAATATTTTAGTTGACCTAACCTGACCACGATGTCAGGCAATCTTACTAATATTATATGTGAGAGTTTCCTGTGTAAAAGACTGAAAGATCTCGATGAAATAAGGGAAAGATATAGTGTATCTGCAGGAAGAACACATAATCAATTTGCTTTTGTTTTTTTTTAATTCCACGCGGACGGAGTAGCGATTGTAAACTAGTTTTAATAGTAACGTAGAGACAAAGAATAAAATATTTGTATTCAAATCAATGTGATGAGATATTATTAAAGAGTTTAAACACCCGTTTAAAATTCTTGGAGTAGTAGCAAACTTTTTAACGATGAATGCTTTCGAAAAAATAAATATAAAAAAGGTAATCGTATTACGACTGTTTTTTAAACAATTAATATTAAACCATTAAAAATATAAATTGCAACAAGCCAGCTGTAAATTCAAAACCTAGATTTTTCGATCTGAAAGTTACAAGAAGTTGACAAAAAATTGCGACGAAAACTTTTCTCTTCTCTGCATTGCAGCGATCGAGGAAAAGTTTTCCCTGTAACAATATTTCAATCTCTTTGTTTGTTTTTCTATTTCTGCAATGGAAAATATTTACCTGAGACTTACCATTCGGATATATTAAAACTCAAAACGTATCGAAAAGGTACTAAATGGTCCCAAGACAAACAAATATGTGTCATCTACACTATCTATACTATTATAATAAAGCATAAACACACACTTCTTTGTTGCCTAAATTGTCAGCAATTACAGAATATTTTTGAATAATTCTTTTTTTAATAAAAAGCCCTACACTTACGTCATGCTTAAGCTATATATTGTTACGCCATTAAACTTACGGGGTAAATATTTTGGATAAAATCCTAATGTGGGAAAGAGACCATAAGTTGCTGGCAAAATCAAGGAAGCAAAATTGTCAAGGTTTGTCATGTCATGTCATTTTGACATTTGCTATTGATAATTTGACACATATAAACAATAAAATAAAATTTTCATAATTTTATGCGGATGAAGTCACATGGGAACAGCTAGTCAATTATAACGTTCATCTTGTACATGCGTTGTTATTGACAAATACTGATTATTGAAACATTATACGTAGGCTTGTAAATTCAATTTTGACAACAGATAATAAATCTTATTACTAATAAGATAAATGCGTAAGTTTAGATGGATAGATGTTTGTTATAGTTTGTAGCCTGAACGGCTAAACGGATCTCGATGAAATTTGGCATCGATGTAGAGAAATCTGGAAGACAACCGCTACTCACTTTCGTTTTTCTTTAATTAACGCGAACGTAGACGCGGGCAAAAGCTAGAATCCTATAACACAGACAAGTTGCTAATAAATATTTATGGTGAAACTAATTACCATGTTAACGTCCATAACATCAATTGCCTACGTAATTAACATGTGTTTAAATAAACAGTGTTTAGCTAAATTTTATGGGTGATACACTCTGAGTTTGTAAGTCTTTATTTCTTTAAGAGCACACGCACATTTGACTAAACTATCGAAGAACTGTTTAGTTACCCTATTCGATTTTTAGGTGTACAAACAGTTGTATTGGCTGCGAAACAATCGACAATCGCACAATTGTGCTATAGTCTAGTCAAAGGTGTGCGCCCGCTAACATGCTCGTAATATTAACAGTAACAGAAACGAAAATTAAACTTTAAAATTTACTTTAGTACCTCATTACCGTTTGTTAGTTATGCATAGCACCTTATATCCCAATTGCAGAATAAAGTTCTCCAGTTTTCTACAAATAGTTTTCAACGGTGCGAACTTTTAGCGCCGCACAAAAGTTTGTAAGTTAAATAGTGCAAAGTTGTACAATTTCGCCGCAAGCCAGTTACCCATTGTGTTCTCTGTTTGATAAAAAAATAAGTTTCGCTATCATTAAGTCTGTTCTATTTATTTGTTCTTAGTTAAAGAAAAAGATAACGTTTCAGTTGAGTTGACCGTTTGTACGGTCTCTACCTGTTAAGTTCTGAATCTTCGATCTTTATTTTCTAAACACCTTTTTTATTTTTGTTTTTATGAAATTAGCTTCTATTGGATATTTCTTTTCATACTTTCTTAATGTCCTCTAAAAACAGTGACTGTTCTAGCTGTATTCTCTTACTCAGAAGACATCGTTTTAAAAAAAGAATAAGCCCTTACGATTTGTCCGCTTGTAAATTGTCTGATAACAATCCAATTCGTGTGATATGTGATGAAAATATCAGATTTTGTTCTCTTATCTGACAGTGAAGTCATTTAAGCTATCTGAGCCTCTATCAGCCAGTGGTGGGACATGCCCTAAGTCAAAATCTATTCTAAATGATGTAATACATGTTTAAGAATAATATTCTCCTCTCTGTTGCTTTCAAATAGAATGAAAAGGACATCAATATGGATGATTACAAAGAAACACGACGATTATTGTTGTTGAAAACAAAAGCTCCGTAAACAAATGATAGTAGCATTTACGACTACAAATGTATATTCAAGTGAAACAAATTAAAACTCTTTTGTACAGGGGAACCTGCAATTAGATCTCGATACGCCCGTCTGTCGGTCCTCGTCGCACCTGAGCCACCGAAAATACTGCAAGGGAATTTCTTCTCTACGGCTGAAGATAGAACGGTGAAATTGGAGTGTATATCCGTCGGTGGGAAGCCAGCGGCTGAGGTAAGAGTCGTATTTATAGACTTTGATACCGAAATTTGGAACAATATTCATTTTGAAGTTCGACTGTCAAGTACCTTATTAAATTTCTTTGTTTGACCTATATTAAAGTAATATATTATTAAGTTACTGTTACAAAGCTTCATAGTTGAAATAATAGATATAAATAGATTACTTACTTATAACTAATGGATACATTACTGTATGTATGTATGTATCTTATACTAAGCTTAAGAAAGGATGAAGTTGAATAAATGGTATTAGGAGAATTCCACACGGATGGGCATTGGCTAGTGTAGCCATCGCCAGATTAACTCGAATAACCATAAATAGTAACTTAAGAGAACAACTATTTTAAGTTATTGTAAAAAGATATTTGTTTATGTGTAATCTTTATTATGTTAATCTATCTATCTATCTATACGTATAATAAAATTGGAGTGTCTGTTTATAATATCAAAGAAAACAATCGAGATTTCGGGAAGATTGTGTATTTGCGTTGCCGATAATAAAAATCGCATTTAAAAATTTTTGTCTGTCTGTCCGCAAGCCGTGTTTGTTCCGGGTAGTCTTCGAAACGGCTGAGCCGATTTCGACCGGACTCACTGCAGGGTAGCTGACGTAAACGGGCATATTATAGGCTACTTTTCTTTTAATTCCGCGCTGTCAAAATGGCGACTGGAGCACTATCTCTGGAACGGGTGGACCGATTTGGACAGGACTTTGACTAAAAGATAGCTGGTAGGAGATAGATGCACGCGGGAATGTGATAGATGACTTTTAAACGCGCTAGTGAAGTTTGCGGTGACAGCTCGTAATAAATATTTTCATTTTTATTTTTTTCATTTATGCGTAGATATATGTAGAAGAAGCTAAGGGGAAGGAAGATCCGTGGTCTCTACTTACCCCTCTAGAATAGGTTGTTTGTTGTTGTTATTCTTTGTCTTCTATTTCTTTTCCCTTCTGTGCAATAGAAAGTCACACATTTAATACAGAGTATAAACGGAATTCACAAAGACAACTCAATGGGGAGTTTGCGAAGTAACATTTGTCAGAATTACGTACACTTGTTAGAAGTTATGCTCCTTTGACGTGACTTTACGAGTTAAGTTACACGGCATAAGTTACTTGTCACAAATTAGTATGAAGAGTGTGATAATAGAGAAAACAACGAGTTTTTAAAAACCATATGAACTTGCATAGTCCCTACGGAGGGTCGGCACGGTATGTGTTCTTCCATACATCTTTAAGCCGTCATATCTGAATTCACTCTCTTAAGCATATCTTTTAAACAATCCATTTTTTTTTCTTCGGTCGTCCTTGTAGTCATTTAAGTGGAATAAACCATATACCCTTAAAATATTGTTTATCTTTGAATCTGATGGTGGATAATTTGATAGCAACGAACCAGAGACAATGAAAAACAATAGATTGAGAAGTAATAAGGAATATTGAAAATCTGATCTCAATCTAAATGTATGAAGCTAGTCAAGCTTTAGGAGGTTATAATAAAATAGAACTCATACCCGTTAATAATACTGCCTTGTTATTACTTACAATATATCTATTTGTTTTAATTACTTTTGATAACTGTCTTAATATATCAGATGAGTTTACTTTATTCTTAAAAAATCCAGCGCCATGTTATTACAAAGTAAGTTTTAATTTTCAACGCCTTTTAAAGTTTTAAAAAAACCTTAGCATTCTCTTAACGGATAATTTTCAAAGTTTCCCTCTTTGAACGTTAAAAAAGCTCTGAATTAAGTACTTGCGAACTCTTGGTGCCTAAATTAGCAAGTACTACTTAATTACAATTGCTCAGAACTTCTTCCTTCTCGAGTTAAGATTTATTAATTGCCGGCTCCATTTGTTTTCTCATTGTTACGGCTGTTTATTTGACTCTTGCTTTAAAATTCTATTCTAAAGGGAATACTATTTAGTTGTTAATTTATTTTGATAAGCTATTATTAATATCATTGCTGGTAATTTTTGCATAACCTAGCATATATTGCAGTACCGCGTAAAGAAGCAAATATCATGTTTTACTCTTTTGTGGGATACTTTTAGACTCGAAAATCTCCAGATCAGCCTGTAAACATAATCAATACAAATGTAATAAAGCGTAAATACACACTATTTAGTGTGTGGTAGTGGCGTAGGTAAACCTTTATTTTTTGTGTCGGGGGG